CAGCAGGATCCAAAATCTTTGCTCCTAACTCCTAATCCTTTTGAGAATGTTATATTGGTCTACAAATTTAATGAAAAGCCCTGGGGAGAGGGGAGGCAGGGAAATGGGGTTGAAAATAATCAGAGACTTCACCATTAGGGTGACAGGGATGAAGCACAATTTAAATGCTTTCAGCTGCAAGTAAGCAAGCAGATGACCTGACCAGAACACAGGAATGGCCTTGGATCCTTATCTCCTAAACACCTCCTGTCATAGCTAATTATGTTCAAATAGTTTAACTAAGGGATTATTCTGGCCAAATTCTAGCACAGAGCTTCTCAAATTACCTGTGATTGAAGGACGAGACTTTTAATTTCAATGTGTAAGACATGGGTTTTTATAAAGTATTAACAGAAATGTCAGAGTAACGTCAAATTTCTTTGTTCCCAAATGCTTACTCCCAATTTTTATACATACACACAGCAATGGTTTGTGGGATCTTAGTTCCCCAACCAGGGACTGAACCGGGAGCCACAGCAGTGAAAATGGGGAGTCCTAACCACTGGACCACCAGGGAATTCCCTATACTTGTATCTTTGTAGACCAGTAACGAACAGTTCACAAACCAATACCAGTCTGTGGCACACACAAAGTGGTAGTAACACAAATGTCCAGAGTATGAGTACTAAAAATAAACACATTAACACTGTACATACATGCTACATTCAGGCACCAGTAGCAACAATAATACACAAAATGTTTTGCACCCCACATAGGTGACAGATGAAGTGCTATATACGGTTAGCTATAATGGAAGTTATCAGGCATCAGATTCAAATAACTCAAACTACTAAAAAAAAAACAGCCAAAATACACGAAACACCAGTTTAACACCAGTTTTACACCAGTAGCACAAGACAGTAATCTGAGAGAAGGGAAACAAATGAGTTGAGTCCTATGAGTATCCCCAGGTTACTATCTGGAGAGACTTGTCCACAGGACAGAGAAGGACCATGAACAAAGTCCATCTCACAGAACTGAGAAGACAGAATTTGAGGTTTGGGGTGGCCTAGGTAGCTAGAATTTACAGGACAGACTAGAGAGAGAGCTGTAGAGAAAGCAAGCTTCAGAGATCTGTAGATGCTTCCTCCCAGTCTTTGTTTAAGTACTGATCAACTTATGCATGAGAAAACTACTGAGACCCGGTAAAGAATGACCCAGAAAGGAATAGGCAAAACAATCCTTGGAACTCACACAGGGTCTAGAATAAATAACTCCCATCAGCCAGTCTGTAATTTAAAACATGGAGTCCTGATAATGTTATCTTCAGGTTTTTTGTATTTGATTAAAATATTAGAATTGAAAGTTACTTAATTCTGCTCCTTACTCAGTACACAACATGCCTGGCAAATGCTAACCTAGTCTTTCTTTGAATACCTCTACTGATTTAGATCTCTGTTTTGTAAGGTTGCCATTTTCAATTTTGTTGTTATCCTAGTTGAAAGTTTTAAATTTTATATTGAGCTCACACGTACTTCCATGTAACTTCCCCATCTTGATGTGAACATGATTCTTAACCGGAGGTGAGCATAATAATTAATTCACTAGAAAGCTTATCCAAAAGATAGATGCCTGGGTTGCACCCCTAGAGATTTGTTAAACCTGAGATAGAATTCATGTTTGTTTTGGAAAAGCTCCCTGATAATGTCATAAATAAGGCAACTGTCAATCTCTGTATCGTTATTAAAACGTAATTCCTCTCTACTTTGGAGAATACCTCCTTAAACTATAATGTAAATTCCAAGACTGGAATTTACTTTTCTTTTGGCCGTGCCCCACAGCATGCGGGATCTTCCCCTACGAAGGAACCCATGGCCACTGGAACCCATGGCCCACTGTAGTGGAAGTGCGGAGTCCTAACCACTGGGCTGCCAGGGAATTCCCTGGACTTTACCATTGTAACTTTCCTTCACCCCACTTTCCATGTCCCCACTTCCTAGAAGCAAGAATGGAACCAGGTCATTTAGGTTTTTTTCTTAAGGTTTTGTTGTTGTTTTGTTTTGAATTTTTGGCCGCACTGTGCAGCATGTGGGATCTTATTTCCCCGATGAGGGACTGAACCCATGCCCCCTGCACTGG